CCCCCCTTGTGCCTCGTTGTTTATTGGGGTTTGCCTTGTTTATTGGGGTTTGCCGTGTTAAATTGGGGTTTGCCGTGTTTATTGGGGTTTGCAGCATTTGCCCTGTTATAAGCCTTTTAGGAGAATGGGCGGGAAAGATTTTCATGTCAGAAAAGAGAAAGAGGAAAAAGAAGGAAGAAAAAAAGAAGAAAAGAAATATGATGGAAATGACTTTTCACGTCTTCTCATGGTTTGTTCTTGGTGGATTTTTTCTTTCTTGAAAAAATGTTTAGGGGAGACGGAGGAAGACTTTGAAGCCACCATGGCTTTGGTAAAGGAGTATCGATTCCCTGAAGTCCATATTTCACAATTCTATCCCCGACCAGGTACCATTCGTTTTCCTTTTTCCTCCTTTTTTTTTTCCGTTTTTTTTATGGTACCAATGTACTCTTCTTTTCACATGATGAGGCTGCCATTCCTTGACAGTTATGACACTTCAAAAATTGTAAATGTTTTATGTCCCTCTCTGCCTACGGCTCACCGGGTGGTTCTCTACAAGAATGTATAACGTCTATTAAACTACTATTAGTAATTAATTATATTAATTATATTATTAAATAATACTAATTATATTAATTATATTATATTGCGGGTCAAAGTGATCTATGTACATCTTCTAGAGGTTTAACACTCAATTGCTACACCCATGAGCTGTTGAAATACAGACCTGAGTTCGAATCGCAATGGGAGTAAATTTTGAGGAATGAGCCCTCGCGCAGCCCTTATCAAGACATGCACATGTTCTGGGCAGAGGCCCTCAGCAAGCCCTGTGCCCGCCCTAAGTGAAGCCGGGCCTGAATATTCACAAGAGGCCAAAATTTGACATTTTTCATATGTGGGTACTCAGGCAGTTGCAGCACGCCAGTTGGTTACAAGGAAACGCGAGCCTCCCAGCTCTTTCCAGGAAACATGGGTTGCGCCGTACAGTTGAGCCCAGGTCCGGGTAGTTGTGACCTGGGCACACACATTGTGAGGCAGATACACCACGATGTGGCCACGGGCCGTCGAGAAAGCAGCATTGCAGATGTACCTACCCCAGGGCCAGTGCAAATGCAGCAAACCGCTGAAGTCTGGAAAATAATGGGTATGCCCAACTGTAAAGGGCCCAGGCCCTCAACTGCAGAGATGGGCCTGGGCACAGGCACTGGGGCCCGACCGGAAGCTACTGGAAACTTCTCAGCCAGCCCCACACGCAGCCAAACAGAGGCTGCCACTTCCATATAGGAAGGAAGGCAGCCAGGGTCTGGCATTCTGGCCCACGCTGGCAACGTGGTCACGCTGCTGCGCTGCTGCGCAATTCGTTGCTTGCTGCGTTATCAGCCAGGGGCGCATGCGGGCGCTTGGGAGGTGAGAGGGGCGCTGCAGGGCAGCGGTGCGCGAGCAGCCATATCCGGGCTGCAGGGCACAAGGGGGTAAGGGGCGATCGGTGGTCTTCAGGAAGGAGGCAAGTGTGGTTGGTCAGGGGTTGATGAGGGGAGCCGAGACACGTACCTGGTGCATGAGGGAGGTCAGCATTGGTGTTGACGTCATGTACATTGGTCTTCAGAGGCGAAGTGAGCCTGTTGCATGAATGCGGCTGTAGTAGGATAGGCTAGATAGAGTAGGGAAGGCGCTGGGCGCCATACTGTAGGTGTAACGAGCACGAGGCTGAGGGAGACAGGGAGAGCCGAGGGAGAGGAGAGAGAGAGGGAGAGAGTGAGAGCACACACACACACTCACTCACTCGACACGACTGAGGGTCGGACACAGACACAGTGACAAGGACACAAAGTCGAAGTCTTGGGTTCCAAATGCCGAAACAGGAGCAAGTCACACTGGGTACGAGTACAGCAGCTGGAAACTGGTACGAGACCGGTCCCCGTACCGTACGGGGAGCCGGTATAAGTACCGGTGACACGTACGGTACCAGGGGCATTTCTGCAAAGGCCCCGAGGGCAGAACTGAAAAATGCGGTATTTGAAAGTGGCGCCCGAATTGCAGCATGGCGCCAGTTGTCCAAAATCCTACGGTACCNAAATGCGGTATTTGAAAGTGGCGCCCGAATTGCAGCATGGCGCCAGTTGTCCAAAATCCTACGGTACCAAAGGAGGGGTTTGGAAAAAGGGTGCCAGGCCGAAAACGGGATGCAGCCGAAACAGCAAAAAAATAGACCAGGGATCGAGCCCTGGCGGAGTCCGTAACACTATCCCCTCCCTCTAGAAGGCAACGTCCCGGCTGCCAAAAATCATGAAGCAATGCTGAAATCTGTGAAGGACGGGACATGGCCGATCACTGGTTAACAAGTCGAAAGGGAAGAGGGGTATAATGTGGGTGGCATGGGCTGTGTGAGTAAGAGGGAACAGGGTTTGGGACCGGTGAACAGAGTTGTCCTACTGATGAACTAGGGGGGTTGCAGGGAACAGGGTAGTCCTACGAATGAACTATAGGGACGGCCGGAAGCAGGGTAGTCCTACTGATGAACTAAGGGGACTGCATGGTTTGCTATAGGTTAAGGGGGAACAGAGTTCAGGGAACAGGGGACTTCTATTGAAGTTCTACTGGGTAAGGGAAGCAATGGTCAGGGGAACAGGGGATGTCTATCAATGTTCTAGTGGGTACGGGAAACGATGGTTAGGGAAACAGGGATCTGCTAATGATGAACGAGGGGTGCTGCAGGGGGAACAGGGTAGTCCTATAGATGGTTGACAAGGGTGACGAGGTAACAGTGTTTCCTATTGATGATCTACAAGGGAGAGCAGGTAACAGGGTTTCCTATGGATGTTCTACAAGGGTGAACAGGTATTTCAGTGGAAATTCTACAGGGTTATAGGTTGTCAGTGGCGAAATAAAAATAATAATAAGAAAAAAATAAAAATTGTTTGTTGCAAGGTTCAAGGGCATAGTTTGCATGTACAAGGGCTGGTATGTTTGATGGGATGTGGGTACAGAGCCGGAGGTCTGCAATGGGTCACGGGGTCTGGGGGAGGTCTTCAAGTGTCTTGATTGACAGTGAGAAGGGGTCTTCGGGAGTCTTGAGCAGTCCCAGGTCAGCGGCAGCAATAGGGGTCTTGAAGGAGGTCTTGGTCAGGTCGATGATGGAGGCAAGGCGAACTGCAAGGGTCTTGGTCAGGTCGATGATGGAAGCAAGGCGAACTGCAAAGGTCTTGGTCAGCGGCAAGGGGGGGTCTTCAATGGTCTTCAGCAAGGAGAGACAAGATGCTGAGTGTTGATGCGTGGAAAGTCAAGAGGTCCATGTTCGATGGCTGTGGGCACGTCCGGTACATGATCTGCAGTGGAGTCTGATCCGGTAGCAAGGAAGTCGCAGACTGGTACATGGTTCATGTCACAAGTAGCTGCTCCAGGGAGTCTGCGAGGCAGGGTGCCGGCCAGGTATAGCAGCATGGTGGCCAATCCAGCTGCATATTCTCCATGAACAGTGGTGCAGCAAGCCATCGTCCTCGTGCGCATGCCATTAGATCCTTTATCGCCGGCGTCACGCAGGTCCACAAGCTTCGGACAAGATGGACAAGGAAGTGGGGAGGGCGAATGGGGCAGGGCTAGGCAAGGGACAAGGGCAGATCAGACATCAGGAATCGGGATCAAGGGCAAGGGTGGCTGTGGCAGGGGTGTGTGTAGTAGAACAAGGTGGCGAGGTTGTAGCAGGGTTTAAGCAAGGGTTCAGGGTTTTAGCCAAGGTATAGGCAGGGGGATAGCTAGGATGCAGGGTGGGAACGATCATAGGCACGGATAAGTCTCATGGCATTCTTGAGATTTTCAAGGGGTTCCCATGTTGATTCTTCATCCGGGTAGCCTGTCCACTTGACTTTGTATTCTTTGATTGGTTCCGGGTGATCAGCGACTTGGGTTGTTCCACGGCCAATGATGGATTCCACGGAGAATTCAGGTCCTGTGGGGAGCATGATAAGAGGGGGACGAGGGTGAGGGCAATCAGAGAATTGTGGCGGGGATTCATGGTATTCTTTGAGGTATTCGGCATGGAAGACAGGGTGGACACGACTCATGTCAGGGGGAAGCTGGTGTTTGTAATTGACGGGGGAGATTTGTTCAATGATGGGGAAGGGGCCGAGCCACTTGTTTGAGATTTTCTTGGACAAGCCCTGTTCGGATTCGAAGCGTTTGGCGGAGAGCCAGACCTTGTCCCCTACTTGGAAGGTGATATCACGACGATGCTTGTTGGCTTGTTTAGCTTGTTGTTCCTGGGTGTGTTGGATTGACTCGGTTGCTTCTCTTAGGAGACGGTTCATTGTTGCAACCCATTCATTGAGAGAGGGGCAGGGGGAGGATGGGTTGTGGAACATGTGGCCATGGGGTGCTCAGCCGACGGAATAGAGGACGTCGTCGGGAGAAGGGCAGGCGGAGTAGACTGCGACGCCTGGGGGGTGTCCGGTGTGAAAGTCGTCGCCGGCAGACGAATTGTTGATGCCAGGACATGGCTACAAGGGGCGGGGGGACAGTGTTCAAGTGGAGGAGGGCCCAGAGGCCGCGGTGGAGGAGGAGGAAGTGGATATGGGAGGGCTGGATCCGGTGGGGCGGGAAGCCTGGTGGGTGGAGCGGCTGGCCTTGGGGCAATTGGTTTGCTGATGCCCCAGCTGGCGGCAACGGAAACAACCGCCGTTGGCCTGGAGGAAGGCGCGTTCGGCAGGGTTGAGCTTTTTGAGACGGGGGGGTTGGGGGGAGGAGAAAGGCTGGGAGGCCAGGCGTTGTCGTTCCATCCTCATGAGATGGACAGCCTGGAAATCCTCCTCGGTGAATTGGGTTGGGTCAAGGGACTCGGGAGAGGAGTCAAGGTCGTCGTCGGAGGCCATGGTGTGGGAAAACCGGGTGCGGTTGGGGGCGGCTGGTTGTTGAGAGCGGAGGTGAGGAAGGCGATCATGGTGGAGGAGGCGGGTAAGGAGATCGGTGAGAGGGAGCTCGGGCTCATGGGCGAGGGCTGCGGCGAGGTGGGGGAAGCATACCCGCTTGATGCCAGAGATGAAGACGTAGTCGGGAATGAGAGTCGACGGGATGTGGAGGCGGAGGGAGCGAACGTAATGGATGAATCGCTCGGTGGGGCCGGTTTGGCGGAGGTTGCAAAATTGATCGATGTAGTCATCGATGGTCTTTTGCGGACGGAAGGTGGCGATGAGAAGGTCGGCCCATTGGAGGAAGGTGATGCGGGGAAGGCCGTTGGCTCGGCGGTTGTTGGCTTCGGTTAACCACCATTGAGTGGCGGCGCCTTGGAGGCGGGAGGTTGCGGTGGGGAGCCAATGAGCGAGGGGCATGTTGTGGAGATCGAAGGCATTTTGAATTTGAGAGAGGAAAAGGAGGACGTCCTCATGGGGGAGGCCGAAGAACGTCGCGATATCGGCGGCGTGGAAGGAGCGGGGAATGTCCCCGTTGCGGGGGACGATGCAAGCGAGGTTGTTGAAGTTGCGGTCGTCGGGAGAGGTGTCGTAGCAGGTGTGATCCTAACTGCGGTCACCAAGGAGGTAGCAAGGAGGAGGTTGGGGTATGGCGGGGTAAACGCTCGAAAGGACTTGGGAGTAAGAGGGGTGGACAGAGGGGATGGTGGAAGTAGTTAGGAGAGGTTGGGTGAGGAGGGAGGAGAGGCGAAGGGGAGTGGTTCGTGTAGTGGTGGCAGCGCTTGTAGTAGGTTGTGAGGAGGGGAGGGAAACGGGAAGGGAAGTGACAGGGGTGGAAGAAGGTGTGGTGGAGGACGGTGGGTTGGATGATGAGGCCTGGCCGGCTTGGCCGGCGGAGAGGCTTTGGCCAGATTGGCCAGAGGAGGGGGGTTGGCTATTTTGGCTGGAAGAAGATGGTTGGCCGGTTTGGCCAGCGGGGGTGGATTGGATGGATTGGCCGGAGGAGGAGGGGGGTGATGACATCGTGACGACGGTGATGGCGGGTGTGTGGTTTTCGAGGGAGGCGACGCGATCGGATATGGAGGTCATGGAGGCCTCGATTTTGCGGAGCGAGGCAGAGAGTGCTTGAAACATGGAGAGGAGAGATGTGTTCTCCCTGGTGCCTGGCTGGTCGACAAGCTCGCGGTGGATATCCTCGACGGAATCCATGCGGAGCAAGCCCATGTTGATGCTTGAGGTGCCTTCGGCCATGGGGAGGGACGAAGGTGGGGCAGAGGGAGAAGATGGAGTGGAGGGGACAACGGAGGTGGCAGCAGCGGCGGCGGCACGTTGGGAGTTCTTTGTTTGCCGGGGCATGCGGCGAGGGGAGGGGGAAGAATTAATTTAGAATAAAATTAAATTTCATTCGAAATTAATTCGGGATTATGGGAGCGCAAAATTTTTGGGAGGAGCCAAAGGGGAAATTAGAAATTTTT